GAGTCTGTGTCTCTCTCTCTCTCTCACTCGAGGTGAGATGTTGACTACCTCGCCTGGTCTACGGGAGGTCGTGGTGAGTCTGTGTGTGTCTCTAACCTCGTGGTGAGATGTTGACTAACTCGCCTGGTCTACGGGAGGTCGTGGTGAGTCTGTGTGTGTCTCTAACCTCGTGGTGAGATGTTGACTACCTCGCCTGGTATACAGGAGGTCGTGGTGAGTCTGTGTCTCTCTCTAACCTCGTGGTGAGATGTTGACTACCTCGCCTGGTCTACAGGAGGTCGTGGTGAGTCTGTGTCTCTCTCTCTCTAACCTCGTGGTGAGATGTTGACTACCTCGCCTGGTCTACAGGAGGTCGTGGCGAGTCTGTGTCTCTCTCTCTCTCCTCGTGGTGAGATGTTGACTACCTCGCCTGGTCTACAGGAGGTCGTGGTGAGTCTGTGTGTGTCTCTAACCTCGTGGTGAGATGTTGACTACCTCGCCTGGTATACAGGAGGTCGTGGTGAGTCTGTGTCTCTCTCTCTAACCTCGTGGTGAGATGTTGACTACCTCGCCGGGTCTACGGGAGGTCGTGGTGAGTCTGTGTCTCTCTCTCTAACCTCGTGGTGAGATGTTGACTACCTCGCCTGGTATACAGGAGGTCGTGGTGAGTCTGTGTCTCTCTCTAACCTCGTGGTGAGATGTTGACTACCTCGCCTGGTCTACAGGAGGTCGTGGTGAGTCTGTGTCTCTCTCTAACCTCGTGGTGAGATGTTGACTACCTCGCCTGGTCTACAGGAGGTGGTGGTGAGTCTGTGTCTCTCTCTCTCTCCTCGTGGTGAGATGTTGACTACCTCGCCTGGGCTACGGGAGGTCGTGGGTTCGATCTCCCGGACCCTGACAAGTAAGATGGCAGCCCACCCCCTGAGCAAGATGGCAGCCTGCCCCCTGAGCAAGATGGCAGCCCATCACCGTGACCAAGATGACAGCCCATCACCCTGACCAAGATGGCAGCCCGTTCCCCGACCAAGGTGGCCGCCCGTCACCCTGACCAAGATGGCAGCCCGTCACCCTGACCAAGATGGCAGCCCGTCACCCTGACCAAGGTGGCAGCCCGTCACCCTGAGCAAGATGGCGTCTCCGTGTGTGCATCACCTTGAGCCATGCGGTGAGGCGTCTCGTTGTTGATGATGGGCAGGAACAAGTTCTTGTGCAGGTAGCGCTGCTGGTGGGTCGGGTCTGGGGTGGGACAGGAGAGGGACGTGAGACGGGTCGGGGCCGTGTCTCCACGTGTCTCCACGTGTCTCCACGTGTCTCCTCGTGTCTCCACGTGTCTCCTCGTGTCTCCACGTGTCTCCACGTATCTCCCCCCCCCGTGTCTCCCCGTGTCTCCCCGTGTCTCCTCAAGTCTCCACGTGTCTCCCCCCCCCGTGTCTCCCCCCCGTGTTTCCCCAAGTCTCCTCGTGTCTCCCCGTGTCTCCCCCCCCTGTGTCGTCCCCGTGTCTCCTCAAGTCTCCTCGTGTCTCCCCGTGTCTCCACCAATGCGCCTCCACCAATGTGTCTCCCCAAGTCTCCCCGTGTCTCCGCCCTCACCTCATCCTGGACGTGTCCCCGTGTCAGCGTTTCTCTCCGCGTCTCCCCGTGTCTCCCCGTGTCTCCCCGCGTCTCCCCGCGTCTCCCCGTGTCTCCCCGTGTCTCCCCGTGTCTCCCCCGTGTCTCCCCGTGTCTCCCCGTGTCTCCCCCGTGTCTCCCCGTGTCTCCCCCGTGTCTCTCCGTGTCTCCCCGCGTCTCCCCGCGTCTCCCCGTGTCTCCCACGTGTCTCCACGTGTCTCCCCTCACGGTGTCTCCACCCACGTGTCTCCCCGTGTCTCCCCAAGTCTCCCCGTGTCTCCCCCGTGTCTCCCCGTGTCTCCCCCGTGTTTCACCGGTGTCTCCCCACGTCTCCCCAAGTCTCTCCAAGTCTCCCCAAGCCTCCCCGTGTCTCCCCCCCACCCGCATCTCCCCGTGTCTCCACCATTGTGTCTCCACCCACGTGTCTCCCCCCACGTGTCTCCCCCCACGTGTCTCCCCCCACGTGTCTCCACCCACGTGTCTCCACCCACGTGTCTCCCCCCACGTGTCTCCACCCACGTGTCTCCACCCACGTGTCTCCCCGTGTCTCCCCCCACGTGTCTCCACCCACGTGTCTCCACCAACGCGTCTCCCCGTGTCTCCACCCAAGGTGTCTCCCCGTGTCTCCCCGCGTCTCCCCGTGTCTCTCCCCGTGTCTCCCCGTGTCTCCCCGTGTCTCCCCGTGTCTCCCCGTGTCTCCCCGTGTCTCCCCGTGTCTCCCCCCCGTGTCTCTCCCCGTCTCTCCCCGTGTCTCCCCGCGTCTCCACCCACGTGTCTCCCCCCACGGTGTCTCCCCCCACGTGTCTCCCCCCACGTGTCTCCCCCCACGTGTCTCCCCGTGTCTCCCCCCACGTGTCTCCCCCCACGTGTCTCCCCCCACGTGTCTCCCCCCACGTGTCTCCACCCCCGTGTCTCCCCCCACGTGTACCGTGCCAGTAGTTGCACACCGACACCTCCTGTCCCAGCCGCCAATAGCAGAAGGCGGAGACCACGGACAGGAACCAGGGAAAGGCACTCTGGACCCAGGGGGGCTCTGAGACACGCGGGGAGACACGGGGAGACACGGGGAGACACGGGGAGACACGGGTGAGAGACGGGGAGAGACGGGGAGAGACGGGGAGAGACGGGGAGACAGGGGTGAGACACACACCGGGACACGGGGAGACACGGGGAGACACGGGGGAGACACGGGGGAGACACGGGGAGACAAGGGGGGGAGACACGGGGAGACACGGGGAGAGACGGGGAGACACGGGGAGACACGGGGAGACACGGGGAGACACAGGGAGACACGGGGGAGACACGGGTGAGACACGGGTGAGACACGGGGAGACACGGGGAGACACGGGGAGAGAAACCGGGAGACACGGGGAGACACGGGGAGACAGGGGGAGACACGCGGGGAGACACGGGGAGACGCGGGGAGAGACGGGGAGACAGGGGGAGACACGGGGAGACAGGGGGAGACAGGGGGAGACACGGGGAGACACGGGGAGAGACACGGGGAGACACGGGGAGACAGGGGGAGACACGGGGAGACACGGGGAGACACGGGGAGAGACACGGGGAGACACGGGGAGACACGGGGAGACACGCGGGGAGACACGGGGAGACACGCGGGGAGACACGGGTGAGACACGGGTGAGACACGGGGAGAGAAACCGGGAGACACGGGGAGACACGGGGAGAGACACGGGGAGAGACACGGGGAGACACGGGGAGACACGGGTGAGACACACACGGAGGCACGGGGAGACGCGGGGAGACAAGGGAGAGACGCGGGGAGACACGGGGAGACACGGGGAGAGACACGGGGAGACACGGGAAGACACGGGGAGAGACACGGGGAGACACGGGGAGACAAGGGGAGACACGGGGAGACACGGGGAGACACGGGGGAGGACATGGGGAGTCGTGGGAGACACGGGGAGACACGGGGAGACACGGGGAGACAAGGGGAGAGACGGGGAGAGACGGGGAGACAGGGGGAGACACGGGGAGAGACGGGGAGACAGGGGGAGACACGGGGAGACAGGGGGAGACAGGGGGAGACACGGGGAGACACGGGGAGAGACACGGGGAGGACACGGGGAGACAGGGGGAGACACGGGGAGACACGGGGAGACACGGGGAGACACGGGGAGACACGCGGGGAGACACGGGTGAGACACGGGGAGACACGGGGAGAGAAACCGGGAGACACGGGGAGACACGGGGAGAGACACGGGGAGACACGGGGAGACACGGGTGAGACACACACGGAGGCACGGGGAGACGCGGGGAGACAAGGGTGAGACGCGGGGAGACACGGGGAGACACGGGGAGAGACACGGGGAGACACGGGGAGAGACACGGGGAGACACGGGGAGACACGGGGAGACACGGGTGAGACACACACGGAGGCACGGGGAGACGCGGGGAGACACGGGGAGACACGGGGGAGACACAGGTGAGACACACACGGAGACACGGGGAGACACGGGGAGACAGGGGGGAGACACGGGGGAGACACGGGTGAGACACGGGGAGACACGGGGAGACACGGGGAGACACGGGGAGACACGGGGGAGACACAGGTGAGACACACACGGAGACACGGGGAGACACGGGGAGACAGGGGGGAGACACGGGGGAGACACGGGTGAGACACGGGGGAGACACGGGGAGACACGGGGAGACATGGGTGAGACGCGGGGAGACACGGGGAGAACACGGAGACACGCGGGGAGACACGGGGAGACACGGGGAGACACGGGGAGACAAGGGGAGACACGGGGAGACACGGGGAGACACGGGGAGACACAGGTGAGACACACACGGAGACACGGGGAGACACGGGGAGACATGGGTGAGACACGGGGAGACACGGGGGAGACACGGGCAGACACGGGGGAGACACGGGGAGACACGGGGAGACACGGGGAGACAAGGGGAGACACGGGGAGACACGGGGAGACACGGGGAGACACGGGGGAGACATGGGGAGTCGTGGGAGACACGGGGAGACACGGGGAGACACGGGGAGACAAGGGGAGACACGGGGAGACACGGGGAGACACGGGGAGACACGGGGAGACACGGGGAGACAGGGTGAGACACACACGGAGACACGGGGAGACACGGGGAGACAGGGGGGAGACACGGGGGAGACACGGGCAGACACGGGGGAGACACGGGGAGACATGGTTGAGACGCGGGGAGACACGGGGAGACACGGAGACACGCGGGGAGACACGCGGGGAGACACGGGGAGACACGGGGAGACAAGGGGAGACACGGGGAGACACGGGGGAGACATGGGGAGTCGTGGGAGACACGGGGAGACACGGGGAGACACACACGGAGACACAGGGAGACACGGGTGAGACGCGGAGAGACGCGGGGAGACACGGGGAGACACGGGTGAGACACACACAGAGACACGGGTGAGACACACACCGAGACACGGGGAGACATGGAGGACACACACACTCTCTGCATGAGTGTATCTCTGTGTGTCTGTGTGTGTGTGTGTGTGAATCTGTGTATCTGTGTGTGTGTCTGTGTGTGTGTGTCTGTGTGTGTCTGTGTGTGTCTGTGTGTGTGTCTGTGTGTGTGTGTCTGTGTGTGTGTGTGAATCTGTGTGTCTGTGTGTCTGTGTGTGTGTCTGTGTGTGTGTCTGTGTGTGTGTGTCTGTGTGTGTGTCTGTGTGTCTGTGTGTGTGTCTGTGTGTCTGTGTGTGTGTCTGTGTGTGTGTCTGTGTGTGTGTCTGTGTGTGTGTCTGTGTGTGTGTCTGTGTGTGTGTGTCTCTGTGTGTGTCTCTGTGTGTGTGTGTGTCCGCACCTCCTCCATAGAGCCCCATCAGCGGACCTCCCAGGGAGATGAAGGTGTGAACTCTGTGATTGTGAACCACGGAGAGGATGGCTCGACACACCATCACCCCTACACCACCATCAACACCATCAACATCATCACCATCAACATCATCACCATCACGCCTACACCACCAACATCAACATCACCATCATCACCCCTACACCATCAACATCATCAACACCATCACCCCTACACCACCAACATCAACATCACCATCAACATCACCCCTACACCACCACCATCAACATCACCACCATCATCAACATCACCATCAACATCACCATCAACATCACCCCTACACCACCACCATCAACATCATCACCATCAACATCATCAACATCACCATCAACATCACCATCATCAACATCAACATCACCATCAACATCATCAACATCACCATCATCAACATCACCATCACCACCATCAACATCACCCCTACACCACCACCATCAACATCATCAACATCACCACCATCAACACCAACATCACCATCAACATCATCCCTACACCACCACCATCAACATCATCACCATCATCATCACCATCACCCCTACACCACCACCATCACCATCAACATCATCAACATCACCATCAACATCACCACCATCACCATCACCCCTACACCACCACCATCAACATCACCATCACCATCATCAACACCACCATCACCATCACCCCTAAACCACCACCATCAACATCACCATCAACATCACCATCATCAATATCACCATCAAAATCACCATCAACATCACCACCATCAACATCACCATCATCAACATCAACATCATCATCAACATCACCATCACCCCTACACCACCATCAACATCACCATCAACATCACCATCACCATCATCAACATCACCATCATAAACAACATCAACATCACCCCTACACCACCACCATCAACATCATCACCATCAACATCACCACCATCACCCCTACACCATCAACATCACCATCAACATCACCCCTACACCACCACCATCATCAACATCACCATCATCAACATCACCATCACCCCTACACCACCACCACCATCATCAACATCACCATCATCAACATCACCATCATCAACATCACCATCATCAACATCACCATCATCAACATCACCATCATCAACATCACCATCACCCCTACACCACCACCATCAACATCACCATCAACATCACCCCTACATCACCACCATCAACATCACCATCAACATCACCATCACCCCTACACCACCACCATCAACATCACCATCATCACCACCACCACCATCATCATCATCAACATCACCATCACCCCTACACAACCACCATCAACATCACCATCATCAACATCACCATCAACATCACCATCACCCCTACACCACCACCATCAACACCACCACCATCAACATCACCATCATCACCATCACCACCATCAACATCACCATCAACATCACCCCTACACCACCACCATCAACATCACCATCATCACCCCTACATCACCACCATCAACATCACCCCTACACCACCAACATCAACATCACCATCACCATCATCAACACCATCAATATCAACATCACCCCTACACCACCACCATCAACATCACCATCAACATCACCACCACCATCAACATCAACATCACCACCATCAACATCACCATCAACATCACCACCATCAACATCACCATGAACATCACCACCATCAACATCACCATCAACATCACCACCATCAACATCACCATGAACATCACCACCACCATCAACATCACCACCATCATCATAACCATCAACATCACCACCACCATCAACATCACCATCACCATCAACATCACCATCATCATCACCATCAACATCACCATCACCCCTACACCACCACCATCAACATCACCATCAACATCACCACCATCATCATCACCATCAACATCACCATCAACAACATCACCATCAACATCACCACCATCAACATCACCATCAACATCACCATCATCATCACCATCAACATCACCATCACCCCTACACCATCACCCCTACATCACCACCATCAACATCACCATCATCAACATCACCCCTACACCACCACCATCAACATCACCATCATCAACATCACCCCTACACCACCACCACCATCAACATCACCATCAACATCACCACCATCAACATCACCATCAACATCACCATTAATATCACCATCAACATCACCATCAATATCACCATCAACATCACCCCTACACCACCACCATCAACATCACCCCTACACCACCACCATCAACATCACCATCAACATCACCACCATCAACATCACCCCTACAAAACCACCATCAACATCACCCCCTACACCACCACCACCAACACCATCACCATCATCAACATCATCAACATCAACATTACCACCATCAACATCACCCCTACAAAACCACCATCAACATCACCCCCTACACCACCACCACCAACATCACCATCACCATCATCAACATCAACATTACCACCATCAACATCACCATCAACATCACCATCATCAACATCAACATCACCCCTACACCACCACCATCAACATCACCATCAACATCACCATCATCAACATCAACATCACCCCTACACCACCATCAACATCACCATCAACATCAACATCACCATCACCCCTACACCATCATCATCAACATCACCATCAACATCACCATCAACATCACCATCATCAACATCACCATAAACATCAACATCACCCCTACACCACCATCAACATCACCACCACCATCAACATCACCCCTACACCATCATCATCAACATCACCATCACCCCTACACCACCACCATCAACATCACCATCAACATCACCATCAATATCACCATCAACATCACCACCATCAACATCAACATCACCCCTACACCACCATCAACATCACCACCACCATCAACATCATCACCACCATCAACATCACCATCAATATCACCATCAACATCACCACCATCAACATCAACATCACCCCTACACCACCATCAACGTCACCACCACCATCAACATCATCACCACCATCAACATCACCACCATCAACATCAACATCACCCCTACATCACCACCATCATCACCACCACCATTAACATCACCACCACCACCACCCCCACCACCACCACCACCACCCCCCCAACCACCACCACCACCATCACCACCACCCCAACCACCACCACCACCACCACCACCCCCACCACCACCCCCACCACCACCCCCACCACCACCACCACCCCAACCACCACCATCACCCCCACCCCCACCACCAGCACCACCACCACCACCCCCACCACCACCACTGCCATCACCACCATCACCACCACCACCACTGCCATCACCATCACCACCACCACCTTGCGATACACAGATGATGGTGAGTCCGTGGCTGGAGTTGACTCGCTCCATCTCCCTCCAGAAGGCCCCAATCTGCCTCCACAGAGCCACGATGCTGGGGTCGTCACTGAAGGCACGGAGGATTACCACTTGGGTCCCAGGCAGGGCCTGCAACATCATCATCATCAGCAGCAGCAGCAGCAGCAGTATCATCATCAGCAGCAGTAGTATCATCAGCAGCAGTATCATCATCATCAGCAGCAGCAGTAGTATCATCAGCAGCAGCAGCAGTAGTATCATCATCAGTAGTAGTAGTATCATCATCATCAGTAGCAGCAGTAGTAGTATCATCATCAGCAGTAGTAGTATCATCTTCAGCAGCAGCAGTAGTAGTATCATCATCATCAGTAGCAGCAGTAGTAGCAGCAGAAGTAGTATCATCATCAGCAGCAGCAGTAGTATCATCATCATCAGCAGTAGTAGTAGTATCATCATCATCATCATCAGCAGAAGTAGTATCATCATCAGCAGCAGTAGTAGTATCATCATCATCATCAGTAGCAGCAGTAGTAGCAGCAGAAGTAGTATCATCAGCAGCAGCAGTAGTATCATCATCAGCAGTAGTAGTAGTATCATCATCATCAGCAGAAGTAGTATCATCATCAGCAGCAGTAGTAGTATCATCATCAGCAGCAGTATCATCATCATCAGCAGCAGTAGTATCATCAGCAGCAGTAGTATCATCATCAGTAGTAGTAGTATCATCATCATCAGTAGCAGCAGTAGTAGCAGCAGAAGTAGTATCATCATCAGCAGCAGTATCATCATCATCATCAGCAGTAGTAGTATCATCATCATCATCAGCAGCAGCAGTAGTATCATCATCATCAGTAGTAGTAGCATCATCAGCAGCAGAAGTAGTATCATCAGCAGCAGTAGTAGTATCATCATCAGCAGCAGCAGTAGTATCATCATCAGCAGCAGCAGTATCATCATCAGCAGCAGTAGTATCATCATCATCAGCAGCAGCAGTAGTAGCATCATCATCAGCAGTAGTAGTAGTATCATCATCATCATCATCAGCAGAAGTAGTATCATCATCAGCAGCAGTAGTAGTATCATCATCATCATCAGTAGCAGCAGTAGTAGCAGCAGAAGTAGTATCATCAGCAGCAGCAGTAGTATCATCATCAGCAGTAGTAGTAGTATCATCATCATCAGCAGAAGTAGTATCATCATCAGCAGCAGTAGTAGTATCATCATCAGCAGCAGTATCATCATCATCAGCAGCAGTAGTATCATCATCAGTAGTAGTAGTATCATCATCATCAGTAGCAGCAGTAGTAGCAGCAGAAGTAGTATCATCATCAGCAGCAGTATCATCATCATCAGCAGTAGTAGTATCATCATCATCATCAGCAGCAGCAGTAGTATCATCATCATCAGTAGTAGTAGCATCATCAGCAGCAGAAGTAGTATCATCAGCAGCAGTAGTAGTATCATCATCAGCAGCAGCAGTAGTATCATCATCAGCAGCAGCAGTATCATCATCAGCAGCAGTAGTATCATCATCATCAGCAGCAGTATCATCATCATCATCAGCAGCAGTATCATCATCATCATCAGCAGCAGCAGTATCATCATCAGCAGCAGCAGTATCATCATCAGCAGTAGTATCATCATCAGCAGCAGTAGTATCATCAGCAGCAGCAGTATCATCATCATCAGTAGTAGTAGTATCATCATCAGTAGCAGCAGTAGTATCATCATCACTAGTAGTAGT